TTCCCAAAAGGGGGTGAGTTTCCCTTTAAGCTTCCCCCCAGGGTGGTGCCGGCCTGGCAGACAGAGCCGTTGGGTAAACGAGCCCCAGGTGTCCTGCATTGAGTAAATAAAGGTCAGGTGTCCCAGGTAGGGAGAACAGCCGGGACCCCTCGCAGGAGGGGCAGTGTCTGTGGTGGGTGCCCTGGGCAGAGTTCCCTGTTGGGGAAGGACCTCCCGCCTCCCTGGGACTGGGCTCCACTCAGGTCTGGCTTTTGTAAACTTGGGCTGTGCAGAGATTCAGTGTGTGGCTTCCTTGCTCTGATGTGTTTGGCTTGTTGACTCGGTTGTCTCCCGTCCCTTCCATGGGTGACTGCATGTCGCTGTTTATCCCACCCACTGTTGGTCGTGTGGTGTCGTTGTTGGGGTCAGTAGGATGGGTGTTGATTATGCATAATCTGACTTGTTTGTACCCCCAGTGCTCGCCCATGTGCTGACCCTTTTGTATCAAACACAATTTGGTTATTGGTTCATTTTTCTGCTGGCTGTGTCCTTTATGCCAGGCCTGATAACTGGCAAAGCAATGACACAACTGCTTGAAAATCAGTGAGAAAATACGATGGAGGATGGGATCAAGAAGCTCCCTGGAGATTCCTGCTCCCAGAAGAGATAAGGTGGCACTGGACGGCGAGGCTGCAGGTCTCTGAGATAACAGTGAAACGATGCTGAAAACTCCTCCTCGCCGCAGCCAGTTGCTCAGTGGTTGTGCTGATGACTTCATCTTTCCAACCTTGAACCCGCCACGTCTGCGCCGCAGCGTTCCTCCGCCCTTACGCACGCTGGATCCCCAGCACAGCAGCTGCTGCCCCGCTCGCTCCTGGGCTCGCTTGTCAAGCACCTGACTAATGTTCAAAGGAATGGGAATTTTTTTCCTGTGCTGAGAGGCGGGAAAACGCCTCAAGACGAAAACTATGAAAAGTAGTGCTGCTTCAAGAAACCCAGTATGAATGTGCATCCTCAACACCGGGGAGATTCTGGGTGAGCCCAGGCATTTCTCCTGATAGCTCTCCAGGTCAGACATCCATACTTGCCGCTGACCCAGCGGACCCTGCAGTCATGTTCCGGCTACGTTAGGGCTTCAGGATTAGGCCCTGCCCTGTTTATGTCACCCACAAGAGCTCCTTGGGTGTATCTGCTGGGCAAGGGCCAACTGGAAGCATCTCCAGAAGGTTGGGGCCAGCCCTTGACTTGGTGTGCCCGTGCACGGTGAGCTCAGCCAGGATAAATCCCCCTTTCTGCTTGTATGAACGCTCATCACCCATCAACAGGTGGTGTCCCCCGAAGTCTGGGGTTAAACTGGGCTCGAAGCCACGTGTTGAACTCATTTCCTCCAGGATAACTCGGTGGGCAAGGGTTGAGGCTGTGGGCTCCTCCCAGCAGCAGTGTGATGGGGTCTGGTGCAGCAGTGGTTCCTCATCTGGGCTGGAATTTCTTTGCTGCAGGTCAAACACAGATTACGTGACCTAAGGCTGTGAAAGGCAGATTCAAGTATTTCCTGTATTTCCCGCAGCTGGGGAGAACACCCTGCAATGCAGATCCTAGAGGATTTAGACATTTGTGTATCCCGTCCTGTTCATGAGGGGAAGCGGGTCTGGAGGAAGGGGAAGCCGTTAACTTTACAACCCGGAGCGGAAGAAGACAGCTTATTTCTTAGCAGGTAAGAGAATATCGCTGCATCATTTGTCATCCAGAGTGTTCACACAGGCAAGGAAACGTGTGTCTTGGGTCTTCTTTTTCAGCACCAGCCCATGAAAATAGTTATTTTTCTAAAAGCAGTCGTGTATGAAGATTAAAAAAAAAAAAAAAAAAATCCACGTGGCTGTGCTTTCCTTGTGCCACACAGCTGCACAGCAGATCAGGGTGGAACCTGGTGATTCACAGTTTCCAGACCTCACTTTCCTCATCACTCGGTGCAGAAAATTAGCACTAAAGCTTTATAGCAGCCAGGTGTAAACATAACCATAATGGCCCAGCTCGGGTTTTCCTGACTCCTTGGAATTTCTTTGTGCAAAAAGTCAATCTTCCTAACCCGAGACCCCTTCCTAGGGTGGTCTCTGTGCTGATTGGATTAATTGGTTCCTGTGATCTCGTTAGCCAGCCTCAGGCTGGCCCAAGGAGCCCATTAAGGAGTATGTGCCACAAAAACAACCTGCTGGTGCTCTTGGGGGGAAAAAAGTGTTGTTTTTTTTTTTCTTCCAACTATGTGCCTTGCAAAAATTGAAAACTGGATCTTAAAATGACTTGTAGGAGGCTGAGGAATCTAGAGGGGACATGAGGGCGGTGTGTTTGCCCTCAGAAGCGTGGCCGCGCACGGGCACGGCGCCCCCGGGAGCCGTGTCCCTGATACCGCTGGCCATCCCGGGAGAGGAACTGGCCGAGGGAAGGTCCTGCCGTGACTAATCTCAGTCATGGCTTAACCATCCCCTCCCGGGTGCGCGCTTGCCCGGAGGAGTGATAACTTCAATACGCAACTGGATAATTATACGGGGCTGCTTCGAAAGGCAAGTGAAGTTTGGTGGGATTATTTAGTACCAACAGAGCATATAAATCTTGCCAGTAACCACCCCTAATTTTAATTACAGCGAGGCGAGTTTTATAGGGAGAGCATTTTGTCAGAACAAATGATTAATTTGGGAGGGGGGGAAAAAAATAACTAAGATGACAAGCTCTTCGGTTCACGAGGTCTTCTGTACATATGAAATGGAAGGAACAAATTTCAAGCTTTAGTTTCTATTTAATTCAAATTAGTGGTTGGTTAGACCAGGCACACTATTTATTTCGTTTCCAAATAACAAATATTGTGAGAGGACCTATTTAGTCAGGAGTAAGCAGGCATTTCCTAGTCTTGGTTAGATGCTTTTAAAATGTCTCTATAAACTGCAGGAAGAGTGAGGGCTTCGTTTTCCTGCTAATGTTGTGTTTTCAGCCTAGGCAAGATAAGAAATACTCTTTATTCTTGCCCAAACTACTCATGCAACAAAACTCTTATCTTAAAAAGACATTGACAGGAACAGTTAACACACTGTATAATTAAAGCAATAAATTAATTACCAGGCTTCCCTGGTGACTATTAAACACTTGAGGCAAAAGAGCTGTCTTTTGCTCCTTGTTGAAGGATTATTACTCCTTAGTTTGAACATTAGCTTGAACAATCTAGGTTACTTTCTCTGGCGCAAATGCGTAGCCACAAACCCCTCCGTGTTTGCAGACATGTAAAAGTTGTCAAGGCAGCTCGGCTAACGTGTACGGGACTTGAGAGCTGGGATGTCCCATACCACATTCCTCTGGTTTTGGGGTGATTTTGGTGGTTTTGACAAGGGATGGACACGGACAGCTGCCCTAGAAGGATTTAAAGTCTAGGAAAATGTCTGTAAATTGCTACCCAGGGTCAGTCCGGGGAAAATGTCACCGGTGAAACCTCAGGCATGTGGCACGCGGGGACGCACGGGGTCTTTGGCATCTCTTCTCTCCTTGGTCCTGTTGACTCATGCCAGGCAGAAAATGCAGGTTTTATTGAGCTGATCAGCCCAAATGTCATCTGACGTTAAATCTTTGTTGAAATACTTTCCTCTGGGGTCATGGGTGGAAACCATCACAAAAGCCATCAGTAAAAGGCTGTTTATGCACGGGGAGCTCTGCTTAAAGGAACTTTTGAATCTCCGTTACAATTTATAAATCTTTAAAGCTTCCTGAATGCTTCCCGTGGAAGCTGGCTGCAGACGGGCTCCTTGGGGAGCAGAGAGCGGGCAGAGGCGGGCAGCGCCACGTTGGGAGGACGCATGGCAGAGGGCCACGTGGAAGAGGCAGAAGAAACCTGAGTCAGGGCAAACCGGTTCCCAGCGAGGGATGTGTCATGCCTTATTGATCAGCAAGCTTCCCACTAAGGAAATTCCTGGCTAGGCCGGAGCTGAGGCACAACGTCACGTTAATTAAGACCTGGGACGGGATCGCTGAAGCTTGCAGGTCTCTGCAGTCACACCCATGAAAGAGCCATCATGCACAGAGGGAAAAGTGAGGCAGCTGAATTACTGGTTATATTTTCAGTAGAGCCTCTTTCACAGACATATAAAAAGTGTCTTTCCGTTGTTCAACAGGCTTTGGGTCAGACCCCCAAATCTGCAGAAAACCAAACCCAAACCTTAAAGCTTTACTCATCAAAACACAAACCTGAAGTTTTGAGGGAAAACCTATAGCGACATGTTAACTGTTCCGTGCTCTTTTTCATGGCTTTGTGGCTGTAACTGTGGTTTTATGTCGGTAAAAATGAGCTGTTTGAATAATCACATGCAATGGTCACCTAACTGAACAAGCTCTAGGAGCTGAGTTTCCATTCATACGCCGAGCTCGCTGCGGAGCCGATAAAAACCTACGTGCAGCTCAGGAGCTGGATGAAAACAGGATGCTGAGGCAAGGAGGGACCACGGTCCCAGGGCAAGACTAAATTGCTGACCTAAATTACCCGGGTTTGTTACCCTCTGTTGCCGCGTGGGAGTTACACCGGTTAAGGACTCGGGTTAGTCCCTGAGTCCAAATTCTCTAGCAACCACTAATTGGGAGACCCAGCCCATCTCTTGTGCCGGGGCAGGAACACACATCGCCCAGATACTGCTGGGCCAGAGCGCGGGGCTGACGCAGAAGTTTAGGACCAGTCTCCCAGAGCCTGTTTTTGTGTGGTGGATCTCGAGAGAGCTGCAAGACGCTGGGAGCGCTGAGGGGGCCTACGTGGGGACCTGAGGGAGGGGGTCAGCTCGCTCAGTCTCTCCTAAATCACCCCAAAGGGCTTTCCCCATCCCCACGTCGCCCTGCGTCAGTGCTCCGCTGTCACCATCGCGCTGCAAAGTGCTAAATCTCAAACCCTCAGAGATTTCCCGTGGCAAAATTCTGTACGCGGCTTCCCAGATATATCAAGTTGCGTTTTGCCTTATTCCTTAAGCAATAAATGCAAATGAAATTATCACCCTGGATCCAGCCTTCCTGGGCTGCAGAGAACAGCTGGAGCCTGCTGAGAAGGTTGTTAGTCCCAGGAATGTGCTCGAGATTAACCATCAGCCGTGAGCTATTTAAGTGGGTCTGATAAGGAGAAAAAACACCTCTTGGGCTCCCCGTTTTCTAGATTTCAGAGCTTCTATTGGTAAAGAAGAAACAGCCCGGGAGTCAGCAGGAGCTGGAGGGAGGGCAGGAGCGTAGGGAAGGCGGGGACATGCGCGGTGCTTGGCAGCACTCGCCCTTCGTCCCCCGGGAGCCGACCTTGGAGCTGGGCGCTGCCGCTCCTGTGTTTGCTCCTCAGCTCGTGATGGGAACGGGCCCGACTTTGACCCCAGGCAGAAGGAAAAAAGAGCAGCTTTTATTTTTTTTTTTCCCCCATTTCTAGTTCAAAAAAAATCCTCTCCCACCCCAACCTGTTAAGACATGGGGCTCGCGCAGAAACGGGGTGAGGTGTGTGCACTGGGGGGAAGGTTCAGCTCCTGTGACCCCTGGTCACGGAGGGACGTATGGCAGGGACACGTATGGGTGTGCAGCACCCAGACCACCCCTGCCTGCCCTGGCCTAAAGCACCCTCAGATTCAAAACATTGCCGGAAAAAGAGTGCCGCTTGATATATTTACGGCCGAGATGTGATAGGGAAGGATATGGATCTTAGGGGACTGGACTTGCTGATCAAGACTTTCCTGTTTGTAAAAGAATTTATTGCACACTTTTATCTCCTCATTCTCCATTTTGCCTTCTCCCCCTTTAGCCTGTTTCCCAGTGTGGTTGTGTCTTTCCCAGCGGTATTTCCATCCATGTTTTTCTTTAAAGCCCTCTTCTTCAAGGTGTTTCTCTTTCCTTTGAGATATCCGCTTTTCCGTGCCTCCCTTTTATCTGTATTTGCCATATTTTCTCGCCTTCTTCCTTCCAGTTTTCTTCTGCCTCATTAGTACTAAGAGGTAGCATTAATCACCCTAGCTGGATGGGACACCTCTCAATACCTCCTTTTTCCTCATCCATTTTCACCCATGTAGCAAAAGAGGAATTTGACGAGGGCAAAGCCTGTTCCAGGCACCCCTTGGTGTGTGCACTCGCAGTGACATGTACGCGTGTGGGGAGATGGACTTGGCAGTTGTAGGTTCCTGGTTGGACTCAATGACACCAGCTGACTTGTTCTCTAGACCCTTCACCAGCTTCGTTGCTCTTTTCTGTTGGACTTTATTAAACATCAATTTTATTTTTGTGGGTTTTTTTTTTTTGTAACTGAGATACCTTTAGAATATTTTCTTTGAAAAAGCCATGGCTAATTCATGAGACTGGACCAAGTGGAATCAAGAGTTGCCCCTGTGTGGAGGAGGACAAGACATGAACCTCCACCCTAGAGCTCTGTATTTAGTTCCTCAGCCAAATTCTGCAAACATCAGCAAGCAACTTACTCTCTAGGTAGCAGATTTTCCTCCATAAAATGGAGATTTTTCATCTTTTCCCCTACTGTCTCCAGCTTAGCATGGTCCCAAGCTTTTCAAAGAAGAGTGTCGGTCTCTTTTCCCAAGTAACAAACAATAGGGCAAGAAGAAACGGCCTCAAGTTGCCCCAGGGGAGGTTTAGGTTGGATATTAGGAAAAATTCCATCACTGAAAGGGTTATTAAGCCCTGGAAACGGCTGCCTGGGGCAGTGGTGGAGTCACCATCCCTGGAGGGATTTAAAGGACACATGATGTGGCCCTTGGGGACGTGGTTTAGTGGTGGCCTTGGCAGTGCTGGGTTAACGGTTGGACTCGATGGTCTTAAAGGTCTTTTCCAACCTGACCAATTCGATGATTCTGTGATTCTACAGTTTTATTTATGATTCTATGTATGATTCTATCATCTTCCCCAACCTCGATCCCATGACTGTGTGTCCCCCTCAGCTCGGATGTGTCCCAGGGGGGGACATCTGGCTGAGGTTGGCTCCCTGCCGCAGGGAGCCGGCGCCATCCCCACCGCACAGGGGCTGCACCCCACGCATGGGGAGAAGGACCAAAACCCCCCTCAACCCTTCTCGCAGGGCTCGGGGCGGGGCCACCGGCGAGGGCGGGGCGTAGTGGGGCATGGCATGGCATGTCCACCAAGCCCCAGCAAGCTGACGGGCAGCGGGGAGCAGGGCTCCGGGCTGGGGGGGCTGCCTGAGAGCGGTGCCGGCAGGTAGCATGTCTTCCCCCTCCAAAGGTGAGTCTTGGCTGTGGGGGCACCCCTTCTTCTCCCACGACACCCAAAGGGCCCCTTCCCCCCTCCAGTGGCACCCCAAGGGTCTCTTCCCCTGCCCCTGGTGGCACCCAAAGCCCCAGACCCCCTCCTCTGCCTCAGGGGCTGTCAGGGGATGAGCCCCACTCCCAGATTTGGGGTTGAGCTGCGGGGTCTCACGGCCCCTCGCTCACCATGACCACAAAGTGCTTTTTCAGCATTTCCCCCAAATTCTTGCACCCCGCAAAACCAAACCCTGGCAGATCCTTGTCCCCGGGAGGTACCTTTCCCGCCTACCACCACACGCTTTTAATCAAGCAGAACCTCGCTACCCTTTTTTTTTTTTTTTTTTTTTTTTTTTTTT